TCTAAGAGATTAAACAAACAAACAAACAAAAAAGAGTTGAGTCAGTGTACCCAGTAGTCCTGCCCAGAGAGAGGTTTGTTGGAGGAAGGACCATAATAAGGACCTAAAGTTCTGGTGTGGGAGCTCCACAACAGGCTGGTGGGCCTTCAAAAGGTGTGTAAGAACAAGGCTCTATAGAAATAAAAACTTTTTTTAAAAGAACAAGGCTCTAAAATATGACACAAAATCACCTTTTTTCTACCAATGCAGAGCTGCACAGAAAGAAGAAAGGGGGGAGAAAGGAAACACTTGTGGACCACCTACTTTCCATGAGGGCACCTCTTAGAGAATTGGATGCTTTGGAGAACCCTAATCACGGTCAGTTTTCCAACACAGGAAAAGTGTCCAAAGGGAGGGGCTGGCACAGAGTGTGGCCCCTCCGAGTGTGACCACTTCAATGTCTGTAATCCACTGGCTGGGTCATTTCATCAAAAACAGTCTAACAGGGGGTCAAGATATTCAACTGCTCAATCAATACTGTTAACTAACATCCAGAGTGAATCATTTCACCCGTAATCCATCATACCCATCATGCCTATGAAGAAAGTTAAAGAAATGTGCTGATGCAGAACCCGGGAACTTTTCAGCCTGATGACAAGGAGACCGCGTTTTATCTTTAGAATACTGATTAACCGCAAGAGATGTAACTCAGATTGAACTGGAATCGCGGCGCCCTCTCCCACCTCTTCAGGCAGAGTGATGCGCAGCCCGGCGTCCTCCTGGCACTGGCCCTGGCCCTGGCCCGCGAGCCTGGAGTGGAAGTAGCCGCTGCAGGCGGCCAGCACGGCGCGGTGGGCGCGGAAGGGCCGGCCCTCCACCACGACCGTGACGTCGCACAGCACGTCCTTGCGGCGCTGCTCGTCCAGGCTGAGCAGCACGTGGGCGCTGTGCACCGAGGACTCGTACGCGAACACCGCGGTCTCACTCAGCGACATTCTGCGTGGCAGGTGGCGCCGGGGAGGTCCGAGAGAGCATGCTTCTGCGTGTCATCAACCCTGCGAAGACACAGGCCAGGGTTCACTCACAGAAAACTGTGGGGAATAGGCTTTTAAAACGTGACACTGGCAAATATAAATTAAAATACTCACCACTAAGGCAGAACTGAAAACAGGCCTCTAGAGAGCCCAGAAACATTTGTAGATACTAACGACCGTATAGAAAATAGATTTGTAGATACTAACTACTGTATATAAAATAGATAAACGACAAGGTCCTACTGCATATAAAATAGATAAACAAGGTGTTACTTTATAGCACAGGGAACATATTCAATACCTTGTAATGGCCTATAATGAAAAAGAATATGAAAAGGAACATATATGTATATATGTATGTATGTATGACTATGTCACTACGTTGTACACCAGAAATGAATACAACATTGTAAACTGACTACACTTCAATTAAAAAAAAAGGGAATAGGAAAAAAGATTAAATAAAAATAAATTTTAAAAAAATAGAGCGCCTGGAAGCATTTATTCAGTTTACCTGATTTAAAATGGATTCTTGAGAGCAGTTTTTCTAATTTTAGGGAAAAAAGGTTCCTGGTGAAGAGGGAGGGTGAAGGCGGGAAGACCTTGTTGAAGCAAGGACTTCATGGCTCTCTGAAAATGAGACACACCATACTGAGAAATTCACCTCCAATGAGCAAAGAGATGGGGGCTGAGAAATTTCTGGGTGGCATCCCCATCCTAGGCACTATAAGATGTTAATGGGCATGTGTATAGGTCACCAGAGGTCACACTTCGGGATGGGGTTGAGCAGGGCAACTGGCATACGGCACCCCACCATTCTCCATGCCCTATTCCCCAACTTCTGGCAGCTGGTCGGAGGCCTTGCTGCTTCAGAACAAGGGACACATTCTACAAACGGTAAAGTTCCTCCAACACGAAGAAAATGACTTCCTTGACAGACTCAAATGTTCCAGGCCAGATCTTAGTGATAAGTCTCGTTTTACATCACAAGTCTTACTTTACACTACAAAATGTAGGCAACAAATATGACTACTCCATCATTAAGAACAAGGTTTGTTACAGGTAGAAACTCTTGGTTTTCTCAAAATGTTAAAAACCTAAGAGAAAGTTATCCAAAATGTGTATTTTTAAAAATGCATACTAACATATGGTAGCCTCCGAACATTTTTTGATCAGATACACACTGCTGACAAAAAAGGCAGCCCCGACGTCTGCATGTTTGCCTACATATTTCAGACGTGTGCTAGTCTTACCCATTACATACATTACAAAACACAGAGGCTGAAAGTCAGAGGCTAAAAAGAGAAGTTCTAATATTTTGTTCCAAACCACAATGGCCAGCAGTGAGCACCCCCGGGTACATGCAGACCCACCAGGGCATGGCAATCATGATGAGGGAGGCTGGGAAGCTCCTCACAGCTTCAGGGGTCATCCCTGTGTCACTCCTGTTCTCTGACACCTTACTCACTGCCTGAAATGTGAAGGTCCTCAAATGTTCGGTGACTGAATAAACGTTACTGTTTTCAGATTCACTACACTCCAAACGAAAATGAAAGGAGAAACAGGAACTACTAACATTCAGACAGACCAGGCCCAGATCACGGGTGAATTCCACCTCAGAGACAGGGTGTTATAGTCACAGACACGTGGCATGCATCTATGAATTCTATTCTACTTATGTGTTTATTTTTAAGGTGCTCATTATAGCTGAGTTCCTCAGAAACAGTCAACGAAAATAAAATCTCTCACTCTGTGGTTAAACTCTACCCAGGGTTAAGAATCACAACCTATCATTTCCTGATTCAGCATACCACCTGAAATCACGGCCACTCCAAAATCATGTACTAGGACTAACTCAACTTTGGGTTTGCACCCCCATATGAAAGAGCAGTAAATTCCCTTTGGCAGTCAGTCTTAATATTTCAGTTATCAACATAAGGAATTGGTCTTAGGAATAGTGGGGAGGAACCACCATTCAAAGAAATACGTGCCTTGTGTGGGGGGTGCCACACAGACCACTGTCCTCCACCTTCCCTAAGACCAGACACCCTCCAGCCACGCCAGACTCAACAGCTGATCACCTGCCTTGCTCTGTCCCTGCATCCAAGTCCCTGGCCTTCTATTCTCTCCTGGCA